CCCCAAACAGAACAAAACATAACAAAACAACTACAGTGAAAATTTGACATCTTCCTGACTTGGAAATTCATGAGAGCATTTTTGAAATGACTATAGCCTTTAAAGTAGTGCTTCACAGCGGGTAGGGCGTTTGCCTTGCACGTGGCCAACCCGGGTTTGATTCCCAGCATCCCATATGGTCCCCTGAATGCTGCCAGGAGTAATTCTTGAGTGCAGAGCCAGGAGTAACCCTTGAGCATTGCCGGGTGTGACTCAAAAAGCAAAATAAAATAAAATAGTGCTTCAGAGAGCTGGAGGGATAGTATAGCACTTGGTAGGGCATGCATGCCTAGCACATGGACAACTGGGTTCCATCCCAGGTGTTCTGTAGGGTCGCCACATCCAGAGTGATCCCTGAATGCAGAGACAGGACTAAAGCCTGAGTATGGACAGGTGTGGGCCAGAAAAAAAAATGGGGGGCGGGGGCTTCACTAACAAGAGAGCTAGGTAGGAAGCAAGGTGGTGTAAGGGCAAACCAAATTTTGTAGTAAATTATGTCTATGGATCTTACTAAATTACACATGCGCAGATCAGAGTGATGCATCTCAACCAGATATAAAAGAGCCAAGCAGAAATCTGAGCCACAAAACAGAATTCCAGTGTGAATCCACTCAGTAGTATGAATCCAACTGAGCTAAAATATAAAGGTAAAGAAACAGAAAGCTACATAGCAACAATTTTTTTAGAGATACATAGCAGGATACAGAGACTGAAGAATGTACGAAATATCTAGGATATGATCCAACATTATTCAACAAGAGAATTAGTACAGCATGATCCATTTTCAAAAGAAAAGAAAGTTAGTATAGACCAACCTTGACTTGAGCCAAATGTAGACGTGAATAAAATAATATCAAACTTCTCTTATAACTACGTTCGAGACAGAATGAAAAGTACGTGAATAATACATGAATATCACAAAATCTCAACAGACAAATAAGATCTATTTAAAAAGAATCAAGATAAATTGTAGAACTGAAATAGACAATATCTGGAACTTAAATTATGTTTGAGCTCAATGGAATAGTGCAGTGATTTAAAACACCTGTCTTGCAATTGTAGGTTAAGTTCAAATCCTCAGAGTCTCAATGCTGATGCTTCTGCTAATTGAGTCTAGCTGCTTCGGCCCTGGCATCATAATGATTTCTAGTCACGCTGTAGATAGGTGTACGTAGACTGATGTGTCCTGCACTGCTGAGCACCACAGCTCAGCCAGGCAAGTGTGTGACCTCCAGTCACTGCAGCAACACCCTCAACAATGAAGTGAAAAATCAAATGAGGGGCTGGAGAGATTGTACAGCTGGTATGGCACTTACCTTGTATATAGCCAATCTGATTTCAAGCCCTGACACTCCAGATGGTCCCCTAGAGCCCTTCATGGGGGATTCCTGAACACAGAGCCAGGAGTAAGCCCTGAACACTTCTGGTGATCCCAGAACCAAAAAAGTAAACTTTTCAAATTAGTAAATAAAAAGAAATAAAACTCAATAGAGATAAACAAGAGAAACTGTTAATAAATTAAAATGAAAGGGACTCCCTATTACTATTCTTCTCTTCTGCATGTTATATTTTGTAGGTATCTTACTAATTTCAGGAGGGGTTAATTTTCCTTTTTGTAGAAATTCCTTAAATACTTCTTTGAGGGCGATTTTACTGGTGACGATTTCCTCTATCCGTTGTTTGCCTGAAAGTTCTTTATTCCTCCTTCAAATCTCATGATAACTGACTAGACAGAATATTCTGGAAGGAGATCTTTTCCATTATATACATCTTGCTACTCCTTTCTCACTTGCAATTTCTGCCCAGTCTTTGGGGTTTCCATCCATGTGATTCTTTGCTTTTATAATTCTCTATCTCCGATTCCTACCATTTTCATTATAATTTGTCTTTGTATTTTCCTGTGTGGGTTTATTTTGTTTGGAGCTCTTTGAACTTCCTGGATACAGTGTCAAAACTCTTTTCACCTTGGGTAAATTATTTCTTCAAATAATAATTGTGCTCTTTTCTCTCTTCTATAAACTTTTTTTAAGGGAATATTGTTCCTCTTGATAACCTTATGTGTTATCTTCTTTGCTTTTAAATTCTCTTTTCTTTGTACTGATCTTTGTTGCTTGGTTTCCATTACTCTACCTTTGAGTTCAATTATTCTGGTTTTCAGCTTCTTTCATTCTGCTATAAAGCCCTTCCTTCCATTCTGCTATAAAGCCCTCCTATTGTGTTTTTAGTTCAGACTACTGTATTCTTTAGTCCTAAGATTTCTGTTGGGACCGTCCGCCAACTTTCTCTCATACTTTCTCTGTCTTTGTTGATGTTCTCTTTCATCGTCATTGTCCTTGTTTCAGGGAATATCATTAAAACTGTTGCTTTGAACTCTTCTTCTGGTAGCTTACATAGCTCTGTGGTATTAGGAGTTCTTTCCAGTCTGCTGTCATGATCGTAAGTGTGGGTGAACTTCTCTGTTTCCTCACTATGTTGCTCCAAGAGGGCAGGGGACATAAAATTCATGTTCACAGGTACCTGTCCCGGGCTTGGCCCTGAGTTCAAGCAGGCCTGGGTGGTGACCAGAGGGTTGAGATAACAAGATAACAAGCACCTGAGGGCATCTCTTCATTGGGCTCAGGCAGGCCTAGGTGACCTCTGTCCCCATTGACCGGGCAGTGTCTGTGGAACCCAGGCTGGGTGGGTTTAAGAGGAAGTAAGGCCCCTGTCCCAGGTGGTGGCTGCAGGCCTTCAGGGAGCAGAGTCTGATTGGCTGGGGGTCAGCCAGCAGGCACATAGGCACAGAGGTCCCTGCTTTGGGAGGTCTACAGGATACTCTCTGTTTATAGGGATGTCCTTGCTCTGTAGCAGTCAGACATGGAATGACTTGAGTAGGATCTATTTGTTAGGAGAAAGCACCCCTTGTGAGTGTCACTTAGTCCCCAGACACCTCAGCTTTCCATCTGGTGTATACCAAACTGTTATGAGAAGTCACCAATATGGCACCCACCAGTGATTCAATGTTTTTGCCCTATAATTTCTTGTCTCCTGTTCCAGTGTTGGATGTATAAAATGGCTTAGGTCAATCACGAGGCCCTCTCCTGCTCCCCAGGGTAAAACTCTACACCTGATAAGTTTCCTTCAGCTTACAGTTTGTTGTTGCATTCAGGGTTTCTTTCCAGTCACATGCATGCATCTCTCTCTCTCTCTCTCTCTCTCTCTCTCTCTCTCTCTCTCTCTTTCTCTCTGTCTACTGATATCTCTCCTTCTTCCCTTGCTGTAAAAGTTTGCCCTTAGGGACTTCAGGTACAATTCTATACTGATTAGCCCAAGTTTCGGGGTGCCTCTATAAGGATCTTGGGACAAATTAAACACTGAATCTCCCTAATCGGCCATCCGGAGCTTAACTTCTCTGTGCCACTCTTTGAATCGTGCCAAAATAGAAAACCTTTGAGAAGTCATTCAAATTCTGGAGCCTCCATTTCCAGGTACAAGATTACGTAGGCAAAAGTATCACTAAACTATAAAGTGTCCCCGAAATAGAAATCCGTGGCACTGGAGCAATAGTACAAGGGGGACGGCACTTGCCTTGCATGTGGCCAGCCCAGATTTGAATCCCTGGCATCCCATATGGTCCCTGAGCACTGCCAGGAGTGATTCCTGAGTGCATAGCCAGGAGAAAGCCCAGAGCACTGCCAGGTGTGGCCCTCAGACAAACAAATGAAAGCGGATGTAAATCAATGGTAAGATGGCAGTAGTGGACACACAGTCCAGCCTGTGTCCTCATTGGCGAGAGACTGGGCTTTCAGGGTGTAGCCTCGGAACTGTCAGTGTGTGAATCAGCCAAGCATTTCCTACTACTACCCAGAACAGGAAAGAAAGGGCTCCCCTGGCAGGCTACGGCTTGCACCCCAACAATCACTCTGGTGCATAGCTTGCTCAGACTATCCTCCTGGGTTCAGGCATCCAATCACAGACTTCCTCTCAGGGCAGCATCTCTTCCGCAGCCTGTCCAAACGACTTCCTGAGAACCACAGTTGAAGGGGTCAGGAGGCGAGTCAGAAGGAAAGGGACTTGCCTGCACCCCCGCTCCCAGGTTGGCCCAGGCTCCCCCAGCCCCAGTACTGTGTGCATGGTGACATCCCGAACCCCAGACTCTGAGGTTCTATTTCACCCGTGGACTCTGCCCACGCTGGCTCTAATGACCTACTTTGGCCTCACCTCTTTATCTGCACCCTGTCAAACCAGAAAGCAGATATCTCTCTGGGGAGAGCTGGGAATCCTGCTGCGGGGGAGATTGGAGACATCCATCTTCCCAGCTTCTCTTGGACTCTGTGTAGGCTGTGTCCACGCGGGTTTTCCTCTTCCCGTCCCACGGAAACTTCCTCTGGCGCCAGCAGGGGCTCAGTGAAGGGCAGTCCAGTGGCTACACGTAGGCCTGAAGAGCTTGACGTTAGTGGAGACCCAAGAGGAGCTTCAAAGGCCCATGATTCCATCCGGAAAAGACCAAGCAAGTCCAGTGAATTCACCCCCACCGAGCTCTGCCAGGAATGCTGGGCGTTCGAAGCGGACTTTTCCTGGGGTGGCCGGTAGAGGGGAGCTGGGGAGGAGTTCCTGTGCTTCCAACCCAACCGTCCGCAGCCCGAGCTCCACTTTCTGGGAAACAACGCTTCCCCGTTGCCCCAGGGCCCTTTAAATTTCACTGTGACTGTTTTCTTAAGAAATTCCTGGAGCAGAGCCGAACTTTTTTGTGTAGGGGGGTGAGGGGTGTTGGCAGAGCGCGTCTTCGCTGCCCAGGGGACGAGCTGGCCTGCAAGGTCCAGTTCCCGGGAGTCAGAACGAGCCCGGAGAGGGTCTCGATGACCTGGAAGAGGCTCAGGACGGGAGGTGGGGTAGGGGGGACGTGACCCTGAACCCCGGGGGCCTCTCCGGGACTCCGGAAAGAGCGCCAGGGGGTAGGGGCCCGGACGTTGGTGGGGGCGTCCCCCGGCTCCCGACCCCTCCGACCTCTCGTCGGCCGATCGGGCCACGGGCCCGGGGCCCGGCCGGCCGCCGAACCCGGGACCCGCCGGGGCGTCTGGGCCGGAGGGCGGGCCGGGCCGGGAGGAAGGAGTCGGGGCCGCGCCGCCCCGCCCGTCGGGCCGTGCGCCCCGCCTCCCCGGGGCGAGCGAGGCGGAGCCGGCGCCCGGAGGAGCCGCAGCAGGCGGAGGAGAGCTCCGAGCCGTCTCCACGAGCCGGTGGACACCGAGGCCCCGGCGGCCAGCGCGGCAGCAGGCGAGTGAGCAGCCCCGGACGGGCCGGGACCCCGCGGGGCGGGGGGCGCAGCGCCGGGCGGTGGCGGGCCGGGGCCGCCCTCGACTTCCCCGGGAAGCGCGATGGAGGGAGGGATCGGGGCGAGGAAGCGAGGAAGGGAGGAAGGAGGGAAGGAAGGAGGGAAGAGTGTCCCGGAGGGCGGGGACTGGTTGGGGCGCCGGAGGAGGGCTGACCCAGCACGCCGAGCCGGGGAGCCGGGACCCCCGGAGCTGGGCACCCCCCGCAACTCGCGCGGTTCCCCGGATTGCCGGCACCCTGACCTGCCCGCGCCGGGAGAGTGGCACGCTCCGCCGTCCCCAGCCCTTGCCCGAGCCGCGGCGGTGCCAGGCTTGGCGTTGGACTTGGCATCGGGGGGCAGCCGGGGCACCACGCCCCTCTCCCCCACTTTCTCGCGCTCCTCCCGGGCGCTGGCGGGCCCGCGCATCGCCCGGGGCCCCGCGGGGCGCTCGGCGGGGGTGGGGGTGGGTGGGTTGCGGGGCGGTGGGGGGGTCTAGCGGAGAGGTAGCAGGTTGCAGACACGAGCACCCCGAACCCCACATCCCGCGAGGGGGTCCCCCCTCCCCCAAGCGCTGCCTCTGCAGGTGACTCTGGGAGGTGCGTAACTCAGACGTGAGTCTGGAGTGATTTTTTTTTTCTTTTAAAGTCTTGCCGGAACACTTACTGCGTGGAAACTTCCTCTAAAAAAAAAAAAGCGTGTCTTTTTTTTTTTTTTGAAAACTAAGGAGGCATATCCAGGAAAGCGACTTAAAAAAACGTCGTCACCCCAATTCTCCCTGTTGCCCGCCGCGCCTTGTTTGTGCGCCCCGTACGCTCGACTGGGAACCATTCATAACTTTGGAAGAGGAACTCGTGATTCCCAAGGAAGCCCCCACGACGACGCGGGGGGGAGTGTGGGACCCCCGGGACAGCTTAGGGAAGGAACTCGGGGACCCTGGAGATTGGGGTGCGGGGTGGGGGGCTTCCCGCTCCCCACCTCCGCTGTCGGGGCGTGGTTGCCTGCCAGCGAGCGCGTCGGGGTCGGGGGGGAAAGGGCCAAAGACCAGGGCATAGAGAGGTCCCGGGGCGCCCACGTGTCCCCATCGCAGAAAAGCCGCTGGGCGCCAACAAACCCCGAGAGTGGGCGCTGCCCGGCTCGGACCCCCGACGCGGGGTCCCGCTTCCTTCCCATCGCCGCTTTCCCCTCCGCGTTCCCTGGCGCCCGCGGCCTTGGCCGCCTGTGTTTATGTTTCCTGGGGCGGTTGTAGCTGTGTCTGAATGGATTGTCTATAATGAATCTTGGGGATGTCAGGGCGTCTCTGGGGCTGGGTGTTCTCTCCAAACCCAGTTTGCCTTCGCCTGTTTTTTTTTTAAGCGCTAGTACCTGCGGGGTGGGGGGGCGCCTACAGGGGTTACCCGGATGGCAGGCAGATCAGATCCAGTGACCCAGCTTGGCTTGGGGGGGCTGGGGTTTGGGGAGTAACCCTGGCCCAAATAATCAGTTCACTCAATTTAGGAGTTTCATTTTTTTTTTTTTTTTTTTGCCTAAGCTTTTCCCCCTGCCCCCACCTCAACCCCCTCCCCTCCTTTAAAACCAAATTGTATGTCTTCGCCAGCCCCTCTTCGGTAAACATATGATTCACACACATCATTTTTAAAAACCATCAAAGGTTTTTCCAGGGACTTCAGTGATCAAAGGACTTTCAGGGTAAATGTTCAGTCCCTTTGCCTTCCCTCGGCAGTTCACCAGCACCAACCAGGCTCTGGTTTAAGTTCAAAAAATAAAAGAAGGGGGAAAAAAAAAAAGTAAATCCAGACTGTACAGTTCAGCGGCTGCGACTTTAGACCTGACCCCAAAGCACAGTCTTCTGCCTCTGTCAAAGTCCCCCAGGTAACTGGCTGGTGTTGAGCTCAACCCTCGGGGAGGTGTAGAAATACAGAAAAACGTGGTCCTAAAAACGGGTCTGGTAAGATGGATCAAAACCGATGGGATGTTGGGGGCTGTGGAGGCTTGGGAAGCTCTCCAGCAACGAGGTGCTGTCTGCTGGGGGAAGGACTTGGGTGGGACATTAGGACAGCAAAGAGCTTCAGAGTGAAAACTTCAGGAAATAGCATGGGGGGTGGGGGGGGGGGTTACCTCTGTCCAAACAATCCAATCTGGCTATGGCCAGATTTGTTTTGATTTTTTCTGTTGAAAACCTCTCTTTGAGAGAAAAAGAGGCATTTGAAATTTAGGATTGCGGCATTTACTCTGTTGGATTTATCTGTTCTGTTTGGATTTGTGTGTAGAGGGGGGCCGGAGGGGGCATTCATCCTCCAGTGCTGGGGGTTGGGGGAAGTTACTCCTGTCTCTGCACCCAGGAGTCACTCCTGGGACCATATGGGAAATGGGAGATCTAAATCTGCTCAGCCCTGTGCGAGCAAGTGCCCTACCCAGTGTGCTGTGTCTCCTAACCACTTTCTCTTTCCCTTTCCTTCTTTCTTCTTTCTTTCTTTCTTTCTTTCTTTCTTTCTTTCTTTCTTTCTTTCTTTCTTTCTTTCTTTCTTCTGCATCTCCTAACCACTTTCTCTTTCCTTCTTCCCCTTCCTTCCTTCCTTCCTTCCTTCCTTCCTTCCTTCCTTCCTTCTGATGTTCACTTAAACTTCACCTGGGGAGGTCGTGGAAGTCTAATACATGTTCTGAGTCTTGATTTGGAAGAGAAGGAGTTGAACTGTGATTTGGGAGTGGGTTTTGGTGTCAGACAGACCTGCATGGGATATTAGTTATTCTGACTATTCTGATGTGTCCAGTCTCTTGCTTCATAACACAGGTGAGCATGGTCTCACAGGTTTTAGGAACGTTCATAAAACAATAATTTGAAACCTCTTGTCTGCACCTAACACCACCATTAATGTTCAGAATTTTTAAAAATTTTACTTGTGGCCCTGCTTTAATACTAGACCTTGACTAGATTGTAGATGGGTAGCTAGAATCTTCTGGAAACACTTGAGCAATTTCAAATTTCGAAGGAACTCCCTAGTTAGGTACAAAGAGGTGAGATGCACGCATTATGTGTGTGCATATATACATCTACTATTTGTGTGCTTATGTGTGCTTCTACATTAGATGAATATTTTTGATTAATCAGCTGCCTAACCGCTTTAATATGCTTTTAGTGCTGGAGTCATAGTTGTATATTTTCAGAGCCAGGCAGTCAGAAACATTTCATTAATCATCTTATTAAAAGAGAATATTTTATTTATTTTTTATTTTTTTACATAGTAGATTGTTAACTCTATGGAGCAAACCCAACCAGAAACAGAAATATCTGTCTATTACCAGGTATGAAAAAAGTGTAACCCAGGAATGCACATTTACTTTTTTTTACATATTGATGGCCAGTGGCTAAGAAGTGTTTAGAACCAATGGATTGGGAACATTTCATAAATATTTTGTGAATGTATTGTGGCAGGTTATAAACTCTGAAGAGAATGATGCTTCATTAATCCGGGGAGTCAGTTTATCACACCATTGAAGAGTTTGCAAAAATTTCAAACACTTTGCCTAGTTTTTTAAAGTGAATGGTCTTAATCGCCCATTACTGTATCTCAATGCAGGGCAGGTGCTAGGGACTGAGCTCATGGGAGTTGTAGTGGGTGCCTCGGTGCCTCGGATAATATCCTGTATGCTAAGGGAAAGGCAGAGGGGGTATTATGCAGCATTTTGATATAACTGCAAAGGGACCAGTATTTTTAGCAATGGTTTCTAACCTATGATGTCATGCCTAGGAGCTGCCGAAGATATGATTGAGTCAAGTACTGATGCATTTTGCCCCCAGCACTCTACAGTGGAGTGACAGGCTCCTGGGTCTGGCTTCTGGCTGTGGGGTGTGGGGTGTGGGCACGTTACTGTGTATTGCTGGGCTGCAAGGAGCTGCTGTGAAGTTTAAGATTATCTGTAAAGCATTTAGAGTAGAGCCTGGCACAGAAGTCTATGTTTAGTAAATATTAACATTAAGTTACTGTTTGGTGACTTTTCTGAATGCTCTATTGTGATTTTTTGCAACATGAAAACAACTGAACAAAAATTGCAGTGTTTCCCAGAATCTAAAAAAAAAAAAAAAGAAAGAAAGAAAGAAAGCTGTTACTAAAAAGTCCTGCCAAGCAAGACTTACAAAGATAATTGGGCAATTGTCATAGCATTTTTTTAAGTGTGAAATGAATTGCAATGTTAATTTGTTGAATCATTCTCCCAGATCTCAACTCCTTTTTTCTTTCTTATTGGGAATTAAAGAAAAATCAGTGATTAGTGAAGTCCACATTTACCCTCAATTTCCCCAATGAACATGCATATATAATAAGAAACCCATTTGTGTAGCTGTGCAAACTCTACTTTGATAGCTACCAGGAGTAGGATTTTGTCCTGTTAGAAGAAACACCAACATGCCTATAGGTGTAGCACAAGGCTCCTGAGTGAAGTGGCAAAACCCTCACAGTGAGATTGGGGTTGGAGCAATAGCACAGCAGGTAGGGCGTTTTGCCTTGCATGCAGCTCACCTGGGTTCGATCCCTGGCATCCCATATGGTCCCCATATGTAGTAATTTCTGAATGCAGAGGCAGGAGTAGCCTCTGAATATTGCCAGGTGACCCCAAAAGCCAAAACCTCCCAAAAACCCATTCATGGTGAGCCACCAGAGGGACCCTTTCAGACGCTGCTGGTTTATCTTCATGCTGGTTATCTTCAGCAATGTTCAAAGCTAGGGTCTGCCCACAGACCCCTGGCTCTGGACTCTGGGTGTGGCTGCTCAGTGGCCTGCTGTGGAGACTGTCCATTGCAGCCTCTCAGCTGCCTGTAAGCAGAGACCTCCCTGCACGTATCAGCCGAGATCTGGATAGAGAAGAATTGAAGCATGGTTGTGTGCTCCCCCAGGTAGGATGTCCGCGTCCCGGGGGCCCTTTACAGCAAGCCTCCCTGCAGCCCAGAGGCAGTAGCTGAATCTCTTTAAGCT